GGGGGGGGGTTTCTTAAAAATCTTAGGACAATCCGTCATTCACTTGTATTGAGCACACTTGCACAAAAGTTTCCATTAACATTTTCTACTTGAGCCCTTGGTGTCAGCTCCTCTTTTTTCCCCTTCCTTCCCTACCCTCTTACCCTCGTGAATCCTTGATCAATTATATATTATTGTTATTTCATGTTTTACACTGTTTGTTGTCTCCCTTCACCTACATTTCTGTTATTCATCCCCCTGGGGAGTGGGCATATATCCAACCATGTGATGGGCTCTCCCTTACCCCACCCCCACCGTCCCCTACCCGCATGATATTGCTGTTTCTATTACCATTCATGAGGGTTTTTATCATTCCTGAATTCCATGTGTCAAGAACGCTCATCTTTACAAATGTATGTACTTTGGTCCGGTCAGATTTGTAATGTAGACTGAATCATGGTAGTGGGGGAGGAAGCATTCGGGAACTAGAGGAAAGTTATGTGTTTCGTAGTGGGTGCTACACTGCCCCCTAGTTGAATTGTCCGTTCCTTGTAACCCTTCTTTGGGGGGATGTACAGTTGTCTACAGATGGGCTTTGGGTCTGCATTCCAACCCCCCTCATATACATCGATGTAATTGTTTGTTTTGTATCTTTTGATACCTGATACCTGATCCCATCGAAACCTTGTGATCACACAGGCTGGTGTGCTGCTTCCATGTGGGCTTATATCCTTCCCTGCTAGATGACTACTTCTTTAACTTCAAGCTTTTAAGACCCCAGATGCTATATCTTTTGATAGCTGGGCACCAGCCACTTTCTTCACGACGTGCCCTATGTCTGTTTTTATAAGATAGGCAGGACAAACAATCCTGAGGAGAAAACAACGGGACTGGTGGTCTAGGGGGGAAGTGGGAGGGGGCGGGGCAGGGAGAAGAAGTGGGAGCCAACAAACTCAGGGAAGAGGGAAAAACAAGAGATGTAAAAATGATGGCAAGGAGGTCTGATTTGATCAAGGGCAATGTATTCAAGAGGAATTACTGAGAGCCGAATGGAGGTTGCGCATCATAATGGGACAGGAGGATGGTGAAAGGAAATAGAGGAAAGAAGTAGGAAGCAAAAGCTATTTATAGATAAAGCTGTAGGCATGTATATGTGTAAATATATTAATTTATAACAAAAGGTATAGAGGGTAATGTACATAATATTTATATGTTAAAGTATTAAGATAACAGATGGACTTTGGGCCTCTACTCAAGGCCTCCCAAACATAAGAACACTTTGTTCTAACACCTTCCCGACATGATCCTTCGAGACAAAATGGGTGCATAAGCAAATGTGGGGGGAAAAACACAATTCTTTTTTTTTTTTGTCCTTTAAATCTAAATTGTCCTTTAAAAACAAACTTCTAAATCAGAGCTATGCCTTTGTTCCTTCTTTTCTCTAAGAAACATAATTCTGAAAAGAATGTTTCTAGTTCATATTATTAAAATGGGAGCCTGAATACATTATAGGAAGCCTTGTTGTCCATGGGTCTCTGAAGTCGGTGAGAGGATACTGTCACCACACAGTGAACTCATTAGACAACTTCTGGAACCAGCTGTTTTAATTAGATCACACTCATACCCCAGTGAGGGGTTCCAGGTAACTATGAACCTGGAAACTGGACTGCTCTGACCCAACTGGCTGCGTGCTACGCAGGCCCATCCGTCGTACTGATCATTTATTTATAGAACTGTGTTAGTTAATAGTTTCTTGTACTTAGATGTTGTTGCTAGTTCAGCTTTGTGTTAAGGGGCAATGTTTGACTGAGAGAATGAGACAAGTGGATGACTCTTTCATTAGTAGGTTTGCCTGGCTGGCCTGTGTTGGGGAATGTTGTGTGCTCGCAGATGTGAGTCACCATAATAGCTAAGTATGCCAGCACTCCTTTCCATTTTACATGGTTGAGAGGAGCATTTAGGGTTAAGGTTAGTATTCACTTTGTTTATATTTATTGGGGGAAAAGAGTAAAATGATCCCCCCCCCCATAGTATGTAAAATATTAATGGGAAAAATGCATGTGTGTGTATGTGTATAAGTATAACTAAGGTCACTAAAATTATGTTTTGTTATTTAAGGAAAAAATAAAACTGACAAGATTTGTGGACATGATTGGTTATTTTCTTTTTATTTATGATATGCCTAATTATGTGTCTGATTTATTTGATTCTTCTTTTTCCTCAGATACCCATTCCCCCAAAACGTTTCATTATAAAAATGCAGGTATAGTCGAATGGTGATTATTTTTTAAATTCTTTTGTTTAAACCATCCATGTGTCTTTTCCAGATATGAGACCACAGGAATCCTGGCGAGGTCCCCCTCCCCTTTTCCAGCAGCAAAGATTTGAAAGGTAATGGGAACAAACCTGAGTTTAAGATATTTTCCCACATCAGCATTTGGGAAAATAAAATCTTCACCCCTCAAACAAATACAGCAACAGCAAACATCAGTTTTTCCTGCCACCTGTTATTTAAAAAAATAAGTTAACTCAAAGATTCATGTATATATAATTTTCTACCTTTTTCTTGGTTCTTGGCCTTTATTTTAGTTGAGCTTTTGAGTTGCCCTGAAAATTTTAACAAGAGCTTAAAACTGTATTAGGTTTTGGACAGGCTAAACAAATTTCTTTTTAGAAGGACTGTGCAGCTTAATGAGGCATAACTAATGGTGTTCCACTTTTATCATTTCTGTGCCGGCAACAGAGCATTAGTACAGACCAACCATTGATTCTTTCTACAAACCTCTTGAAGTCCTAATCAGCTTCTTTGGTACAACTATTTCAAGGCTGACAAGCCTATTGTAGGGCAGTGTCACTGTAGGTCAGTAGTTATTAGTTGCCACTGAAAACAGTTTCTTTAACTACTTAAGACTGAACTGAATTAAACGCAGAAGGGACTCAGAAGAGGATTATGGGATCTGCAGTCTAATAAGTACCATGGAATAGAAAGAATGTGACATGGTTTAATAATAAGGGATGTTTTACATGTGTTTCTTCATTGATAAGTTTGTGCTTGCAAGTCAGATGTACTCTATATGACAAGACAGTTGGCCAAGTTATGAATAATTTTATTAGCATCTGTAGGATAATTTCAAAGGGCGGCTTTAAAGTGTATCATTTTATGCTGATTTGTTCCATCACCGGTAAATACGTAAATTAACTGAGCTCCTTTTTTTCAGTTCTCATTTCTAATCTTTTGTCCCTCCTGCTTTAGCAACCTCTGATCTGATCGGATTTGAATGAATAAAAGCTGTTTATAAGTTGGGTTCTAAATGCTAGTCCCCTTTTTTAACACAACTGTGAAATTTAGGAGTTCTAAAACTTCATTTCTTTGTTTTCTTCAAGAGGATAACATGAATCATTTTACTGAGTTGTTTATTAATACTTTCCACTACTTAATGCAACCTGCATGACTGGTAGAATATGCTATTTCATCATCCTTAGAATAGCTTCAGTCTGAAACAAATCAATAAGGGCTCATTTTTTTCTAAATTATATGCTATCAGGTTAGAACTGATGTAATTTTAAATAACTGGACCACTTTTGTCCAAGATCAATTGTTAACACGTTATTTTTATTTTTTTGACACTTGATTTTTTTTTAACTTGTTGCATACTGCTTTCCCATGGTAATGGCAATAACTGACATTTACTATGTGTCTATGAAGTGTCAGCACTATACTAACATACTATGTTAGTAATTAAGACTAACTACTCTCAGAAATCCTTTGAAGTAGAAGCTGTTATTTTTACACATTTTACAGTTGAAGAAACGGAGATATAGTGAAATTCAATAACTTAAAGGTTACTTTCCCATACCATTCTTTTAGAAACTTTACCTATAAACAAAATTCATCAGACCACATACTCTGATGATAATGTTCCTATTCTTTCGTATTATCTATGGTTTAGCTGATATTTTGCATTTATACTAGTTTTTTTTTAAAAAAAAACAAACACCTAATACTTTGGACATTAAAAGCATATGTTTGGAAATACCGAACACTGAGTAATGCTACCTGATGCTTATGGTTTGTGTCAACTTGGTTGGTCTGTGATTCTCTGAGGTTTGTCATATCTAATGATGTAGACTGTCAGCTTGTCATGTTATGGCAGCTTGTGTATTTCTGTGATGCTAGAACCTAGGTCATTGCTGTTTCAAATGTCAGCAGGATCACCCAGCGTGAATAGGTGTCAGTGGAGCTTGCATACTTAGAACAGACAGCGAAGAAGGAATTGGCTGCCCGCTTTGGAGGAAGTAGCCACTGAAAACCTTAAGCATAACTTTGAAACATTGCAGGTCTAATGCATGAAAGCAGAACATTAAGTCCGTGCCAGAGGATGGGGCTCTAGGGCCAGAGGGCACTGAAAATGTGACTGAAGAGGAGCTAATTTCTTGGAACGGAGTCAACTGTGGTGACTCCATTTATCTGAGCCAGGTACTGCCTGTAGGAGTGGAGCCTTAGGGATTTTCTTTTGCTGATGAGGCACAACTTTATGTGACTAGAAAACAGCTGCAAAAATTTATTTAATCCCTAGAACTAGGACTGTATTAAATATGATTGTAGGAAAATTGGAAATCAAATATGAAATGGAACACATATAAATATCGATATTCTAGGCAATAGTGAGCTGAAATGGACTGGTATTGGGCATTTTGAATTAGAAAATCATATGATATAGTATGCCAAGAATAACAAGAGGAATGGCTTGTGTTCATTGTCAGAAAAAAAAACCATTTAAAAATCAATCATGAAGTACATTGCTACCTTTGATCAGATTATATCTATCTGCCTTTAAGGAAATCTATTCAATGCAACTATTGTTCAGATTTATGCACCAACCACAAAAGCCAGTGATGAAGAAATTAAAGAATTCTATTAAGGACTTGTCAGAAATGGATCAAACATGGAAACAAGAAGCCAAAGTTGGTGATTGGAATGCAAAAGTTGGAAACAAAAAATAAGGAACAGTAGTTGGAAATAGGGCCTTGGTGTTAGAAACAAAGCTGGAGATTCATGCTAGAATTTGGCAAGACCAATGACTTGCTTATAGCAAATATCTTTTTTCAGCAACACATGGACTTCTCCAGGTGGAATAAACAGAAATCAAATGGGCTACAGTTGTGGAAGATGCAATAGAAAAGCTCAATGTCAGCAGCTACAACCAGGCCCGTGGCTGACTGTGGAACAGATCATCAGTTGCTCATATGAAGAAAATTAAAACAAGTCCACTAAACCCAAAATAAGACCTTGAGTCTATCCTACCTTAATTTCAAGGACATCAAAAACATCATTCTTGAAGAAAGCAAAAGGTCACTAATAAAACAACAAAAAGAAGATCAAAGTGGATTTCAGAAGAAACTGAAACTTCCTCTTCATATATAATAGCTATGGCAAATAAATGGAAGGAATGAAGAAGTTAAGAGCTGAATAGAAAATCTCAAAGGACAGCTCGAGAAAACAAAGTAAACTACTATAATGAAATGTGCAAAGACATAGAGTTAGCAAACCAAAAATGAAGAATGTGGTCAGCATATCTTAAAGAAATCAAGATAAAATTTAGTCCTTTCGTTGTGATCTTAAAAGATTCTATGGGCAAAATATTGATTGATGTAGGAAGCATCAAAGAGGATGGAAAGAATATACAGAGATAATCACTCCACCAAAAAAATGGTTAACAAACAACCATTTCAGGGAGTAGCATATGAGCAAAACTATTGGTACTGAAAGAAGAAGTCCAAATTACACTGAAAGCATTAGCCAAAATGAAGGCTCTGGGAATTAAGGGAATATCAAATGAAATGTTTCAACAAACTGATGGTTCACTAGAAGCACTTACTCTTTTATAGAAGACAGCTACTTCGACAAATGAAAAGAAGAGATCCATATTTATACCTATTCCAAAGAGGTGACACAACAATGTTCAAATTATAGTACATCATTGATATCACATGCAAGTAAAACTTTGTTGAAGACCATCCAACAACAATGGCAGCAGTACCGTAACACGGAATCTGAATCCGCCAGGAGTTCCAGCCAGATTCAGAAAATTGGGATATCAAAGCTCAGTGGTTCTCAACCTGTGGGTCGCAACCCCTTTGGGGGTTTAACGAGCCTTTCACAGGGGTCGACAGCTTCATAACAGTAGCAATAGTACAGTTATTAAATAGCAACGAAAATAATGTTATGGTTGGGAGTCATGACAACATGAGGAACTATATTAAAGGGTCGCAGCATTAGGAAGGTTGAGAACCACTGTATAGCTGATGTCAGATGGAACTTACCTGAAAGTAAAAAATACCAGAAAGATAGTTATGTTCTATTGACATTGCCAAGGCAATTGCCAGTGTAGACCTTGGCAAACTGGATAATCTTGAGAAGAATGGGAATTACAGAGTATTATTGAATTGTGCTCATGTAGAACTTGTGCATGGATCAAAAGGCAGTTGTGCAAACAGAACAAGGGAAAACTTAATGGTTTAAAATCAGGAAAAGTGTGCATTTGGGTTGTATCTTCCTACCATATTTATTTAGTCTGTATACTGAGCACATATTCAGAAACTGGCTTATATGAAGAATGCAGCATCAGGATTGGTGCAAGGCTTATTAACGATCTGCAGTATGCGGAGGACACAACCTTGCTTGCTGAACATGAAGAGGACTTGAAGCACCTGCGGATGAAGATCAAGGATTGTAGCCTTCAGTATGGATTATGACTCAATTTTTAAAAGACCAAAATGCTCTCAACTGGACCAGTAGGTAACATCATGATACATGGAGAAAATGTTGTAGTTGTCAAGGAGTTGCCTTGCTTGGATCTCTAATCAATGCTCATCAACAGTCAGGAGATCAAAAGATGGATTGCATTAAGTAAATCTGCTGCACAAGACCACTTTAGAGTACTGACAAGCAAGGATGAAACTTTGAGGATTAAGGTGTGCCTCACTGAAACCATGATATTTTCATCTGCCTTATAAGCATGTGAAAGTTAAACATTGAATAAAAGAAGACAGAGAAGACGATGAATGATGGTACTAGTGATGAATATTGAAAGTACCATGGACTGCTAAAAGGACTAAACCAATATGTCTTGGGAGAAGTCCGGCCAGAATGCTCCTTTGTTTGTTGTCAGGAGAGACGAGTCGCTGGAGAAGGACATTATGTTGGGTAAAGTGGAGGGGCAGTGAAAAAGAGGAAGCCCTCAAGCAGATGGATTGACACAGTGGCTGCAACATTGGTTCTGGTAATAAGAACAATTGAAGATGGCATGGAACTAGATAGTGTTTTACTCTGTTGAGCATGAGGGTCATTATGGGTCGGAATGGACTCAGTGTCACCTCACAACAACAGTGATGAAGTCACCCTCCATTTGGTGATCATCCTTCATTTTGATGCTCTCATCCTCCATTTCCCCATAATACCTACTATTGCATGACAACCTGGTCTTTGGGACCTATCCATGTCAGTGTGTGATGGGCGGGTTTATTACAGTTACAAAGGAGGTAAAGGATCTGTTGGGAGTTTTAGGTGCCATTGAGTTGGTTCTTATAAGTGATCTTATATTCAACAAAACTTGGTCCTGCATTATTCTCGCAGTCATTGCCATGTTTAAGGACATTGTTTCAGCCACTGTCCGTTCATGTCGTTGACAGTCATCTTTTTCACTGAACCTTTACCTAGCCTGATACTTTTTCTAGGGACTGGTCCTTTTTGATGACTTGTCCAAAATAGGTGAGACAGAGTCTTTCCTTCTTTCCTTCCAAGGACCATTCTGACTATACTACTTCAAACAGGAGTTTGTTTGTTCTGGCACATTACCGTATATTTAACATTGGTTGTCGGCACATAATTCAAAGGCATCTATTTTCCTTCGGTATTACTTATTTGACAGCTTTCACATGCACATGGGGCAAGTGACAATACGTCTAGTTAAGTGCAACATCATTTTCAAAGTTTCATTATAAATTGGATGAAGGTTTACAAAGCAAATTGTTTTTGTGTTTAGTAATTCACAAACATTTTGTTTCATCTCAGGCAGTGTAGTCCCCTCAATATTACTTATCCCACTTCCTCCTTGTGTTTCCTGTGTTCGTTTTACCTTCTTTCCTATCCTCATTGGTATATTGAATTGGGTAAATAAATTATTTGGAACACAATTTGCTCAGCGCAGTACACCACCTGATTTTCTGACGGCTGCCTCTATGGGTGTTGATTGTGGCTCCCAAGTAAAATGAAATCCTTAACTACTTCATTATTTTCTCCACTTCCCCTGATGTTGCATTTTGGTCCAGATATGAGGATTTTTGTTTTCTTTATGTTGAGATGTAAATCCATAGTGAAGACTATTCTTTGATCCTCACCAGTAAGTGTTTCAGGTCCTCTTTGTTTTCAGTAAACAAGGTTTTGTCATCTGCATATTGAAGGGTCTTAATGAGTCTTCCATCCTAATGTTACATTCTTCTGCATATAGCCCAGTTTCTCTGGGTATTTGCGGATCATAGAGATTGAATATGTAGTGAAAGGTTGAAACCTTTTCCGGTTTTAAATCCTGCTGTATCCCCCTGGCTTTGTTCAAAAGCTTGCCTTTTGGCATATTTATAGGTTCCACATGAGAATTAATTAGTGTTTCCATTCTTGGAATTTCCATTCTTGTCAGTGTTATCCATAAATTCTGATGATTCACAGAATTGGAAGCCTTTAAGGAATCAATAAGCATAAGTATCTAGTATTCTGTTTTCAGCCAAGATCCTTCTGATAACAGCATTGATTTCCCTCATCCCATGAACTGTTTTAACCATTTCTTAATTATCATCAGCAAAATTTTACTTGTATGTGATATTATTTGATAATTTCCACATTCTATTGATCTGCTTCCTACTTTTAGGCACTCTATTTCTAATCCAGCATCTATTTCCTTCCCGTAGGAAACATTAAACGTTGTATTAGGGTCATAATCATTTTTCTGTCCCTTGCCTTTATGTCCATAGTTTTCACTCTTAATCTGCTCAAGCTGAGTTCTGATATTACTGAGTATTGACAGATTTTGTGGAACCAGCAGACAGGAGGCAAGTTTTATGGGTGATTTTTGTGTAGTGCTAGTGTTATGCATGTTTTCTTTTTCAGGTTAAAACCATCCCTTTAAGTAAAGTTAAATGTGGAACATTGTAGACTTCTATAGTACGTGTCTTGCATGATCATTTAAGGAGTATATTATTTATTTTATGATAAGGAAAATCAAGTTTGACTTTGGCCATCCTAAACGAAACAGATATATTACATCAGTCATTTATGTGTCACATGTCAGTTCAACCATTCAGACTTCACAAGACACTGCAGAAAATACAAGCGTATAGCTATTATGACTTAACCTGAGTTATCATAATTAGTAAGTAGTGAAAATCTTATTAGCACTAAGTGTGACAGGCTTTTAGTTCATTACTTTCACAGTACATTTTAAACAGTGGTTGAGAACAACATTATTTTTCTTTAATAATTCTTACTTTTGGACAATAGATATAATCCATATATTTCTTTAACAAAAGAAATAACTCCCTCCTGCCATCCCTCAGCAAAGAAAGGTAGCCTAGCAGCGCTAACTAGCGTTTGAGTTCGCTTGGTCAGGTGAGTTATGCCCTGTTTTCTTATCAGTAGAGGCTTCATTTTTTATCTAAAATCATAAAGTATACAATATAAGGAAAATTAAATCGTGTGTACATAATTGTTAATACTTTTTATCATAGAAAATATTTTTGTCAAAATGGGTAATAACTTCAAAAAGCAGAACTGTGTAATTTTAGCATTAGTTTTTTTCTTAACCTGTTTTAAAATTATATTTATAATGTGTAACTTCATATCAGCAGGTTTTCCTGAAACTTCATTTGCATGCATTTTATCATTGTAAAAAAAATCAATCTTAGTTAATACCATGTGTGGAGTTATACTGTTGCATGCTGGTTTTCCATTAATGGGCCAATTTTTGATGATCCTCCCTGATCACAGCACAAATCTTAGTCCCTCACTCCTGCAGAGATTGGAGGAGACCATTTCTGTCTCTCATGTGGACTTATTCTTACCAAAACATGTTTTATTTCTAATGAATCTAAAAAATAATTAAAAGCCCTAAACATGCATTTTATTTCTGAAATAGATATATTTTTAATTTTATTTTAAATCACTTAAAATTTTATGATTAGACCTCTTGATTTCATCTACTGACATTACACAAAAATAATTATCTTTGGGTTTAAAACAAAGGCAAGCTATAAATGAAGGAAGAATACTGAAGGTTGGAGGGAGGGTAAAAGGATAGATTCAGGCTTGAGTAGATGTGAGAAGAATGCTTTATTGCAGAGCTCAACTGTACACTCCTCCACCACCACCCCCAACACACATACACACAAACACACACACACACACACACACACCCCACCCCCACCCCTAGAAAGTGAGGTTTAAATGTTGGTATAGTTAGTACCAGCTAGTCATAATACTTTAACAAATTTGAAGTTTCATTGTCATTTCTTCTCACATCTTTTAACTGACTGCAACAGGTTTTGATACTAAAAAAACAAAAACAAATTAGGAGCATTCCCTTTTGTGTACTCTAATAGTTCTATAATATGGAAGTTGAGGAATATGTCTCAAGGAGAATGTTTATATATTTCGTGGTTATTGCCTTTAGAAGATATATCTTTGATATATTGTTTATGTGACGTTTTTAATTAAGTTATAATTTAATACATTATACTTAACTGCTTTGTGTCTGCAGAGTTAAAATAGGCACTTGAAGACAATTAAACATTTCCTTTGACTAGTAATCCGGGACGGCAAACTGGGTTATAATAGCCGTTGAATCTGTGTTCCCATGTACACTGTACACCAAATGCCAGTCAGCCTTTGCCAATTAGTGCTCATGTTGCTAGGTCACCGTGGTCAATTGAAAGCTGCATCAATAGAACTTGAAAAGGTTTCCTCCGATCAGACCTTCTGACATATTGAGCAGAATAATGGATGGGAAAAAACAGCCAAGTCCCCTACCCTGGATTCAAAATACTCAGCAGTAAGAATTCATTTGCAGCCTGCAATTAACTAGAAAGAAAGAACTACCAAAGAGGAGTCAGGATATTTTTGAAAATAAAGCCTCATTCTCCTGTGTTTTATCCATATTCATTCTTTAAATAGTATTTTTAATGTAGCCAACTTGGTGATCTTAGGCCCAAATCTTTAAGTGACTAAAAAGGTAATTTCACAATTGAAAATGAATAAAATAATTTTTAGAACTCAAGCCTTTTTGATTCATGTGCATTTAATTAAACGCTCTAATAAAGGCTGTTGCTTCACAAAACATGTTAGCCTGCATTGGATATCAGGGACACGAAGATCGTTGCATACAGCGTATGTGGGTAATTTGGGTTATTCTAAAATTTGGAGATGGTCCCTGCCAATTTCAAGCTTTTTGCTATATAAGAAGCTTAATTTCTAATTTAATGCTTATATGGTAACTTTCCACAGAAATGTTGGGGCTGAGCCTCTGCTGCCATGGAACCGGATGCTGCAAAACCAAAATGCAGCCTTTCAGCCAAACCAGTACCAGCTACTTGCTGGCCCTGCTGGATACCCACCTCGACGTGACGATCGTGGAGGGAGACAGGTAATAAAATGGGCTCTGGGATGAAAAGTGTGCTGCTCACTTTGCACTGGGACGTGCCTCTTGGAGTTCCATATTTTCTTACAGACATCTGTAGTAAGCTGACAGGATAGCTCAGCTGAACTCTTTAGTCTGTTATTAAAAATGGATATAGGCTGAGTACCTTCCTTAAGGTTATACTTTGATGGTGTCAAAGAATTTTCTACCTACAAAGCCTTTAAATCATGGTAGTCAGTGATAATAAGCACACATATGACCAATCGCTAAACATATTAGGTTTCCTTTAAAGATACTGCATTTGTTTTTTTATAGAAACTTAGATCTCCCCAAATAGATAATAGTTTTCTGGAAGCCAAAAGAATCCAACTTTTCAGGTGCTGTCTGTATTCATCACGGACTAAAGATTTCTCCACTAATATTCCAATAAACTTTAGCTGTACCATTGAAGGAGCCTAATTTTCTAGACAAATTTTCAAATTAAGCATTATCACCTACTTTATTACCTTCTATTAATAATGCTAAATTTTTGCAACATTTAAAACGAAACTCCATTGGACTTAATTTTGACCAGCATTTGATACCCTGACCAATATTTATGTACTCTTAATTAAGCCCTTGCCAGAAAACAGGTTTAGAATCCTGCTGTTCAGAGTGAAGTGATCATAAGTCGCCTGTAGCAATGAGAAGTGGTTTTTATGCTGTTTACCTCGTAAGTTATGCTACCTGGTTAACTGGTGTTCTAGCCACATGGTTCTTTTATGTAAGACCTGTACATCTCTCCTCCTCTTGGTAAACCCATGCCTCTGCCCTTGAGTTGATTCCAACTCATAATGACCTTGTGTAGGGTTTCTCAGCCCTTGTAAATGTTTATGGGAGCAGACATTCTCATCTTTGTCCCACAGAGTGAATGGTGGGTTTGAACCATTGACCTTGGGGTGAGCAGTTCAACACTTACCAGACAGCACCATGTGGGCTCTTTCTGGTAATTAAGGAAAACTTCATATTTTTTTGGTTTATTCTTACAAGTTTCTGTCATATTTTGCTTTAATCACTAATGGTTAATGCCTTTTAAGAGAAATATGTTATAATTCATTAAAATGAATTCATAAAATTTTAGTATAAATACTATCAACCTCAGACCTCTAAAATTTTTACTAGTAGATTGAGGCTATTTACATTACTGTAGTTACAGTGAGACTAGTATCTCACTGCCATTGAGTCGATTTACACTCAGCAACCCTATACAGCAGTGGTTTTCAACCTTCCTATTGCTGCAGCCCTTTCATACAGTTCCTCATGTTCTGGTGACCCCCCAACCATAACATTATTTTCGTTGCTACGTCATAACGGTAATTTTGTTACTGTTATGAATTGGGCAACCCCTGTGAAAGGGTTGTTTGACATCCCCCACTGCCCCCCCCCCAGGGGTCACGACCCACAGGTTGAGAACCGCTGCTATACAGGATTTCCAAGACACTAAATCTTGATAGCAGCAGACAGCCTCATCTTTTCTCTCAAGGAGTGGTTGGTGTGTTTGAACCAGCAATCATGTGACTAGCAGCTCAGTGCCTGACTCATCACATTTGTCAAATTAGGAACTGTTAAAACTTCATACAATGTGGCAATTGTATAAGCTGGGGACTCTGACTCCCCTAACTACGGATCCCAATTCATTGTTTTTTATTACCTTCTTCAGAAGAGGGAATCTATTGAAGGAACTCTGCTATTGTAAGAAGTAAAAGTCTTACTCACTTAGAAGATATAAAGCATTTGGTAAACATCCCTTGAGAAACCTACTCTTTAGGATGTTTTAGAAATAGTTCTTTTTTCTAGTCATTTATCCTGCATGAAATACGACTATTAATTCATAATTTTTGGAGCACTACACTATTAAGCTGCAGAAAATTGTTCTTAAAATAAAATCATGACTTCACCATGTGTAGTAAAGTTTATGTAGGCCTTAAACTAGGTTTAAACTAGGCCTTAGCTTTCATTGTAAACTTGAGAATCTTCACATATTCATAATTTAAATAACTTTAGTACTCTTGGGCACATTATGTTGGAAAGAGTGTCATTTGTCTTGTGTCTGTAAACTAGCATAGTATAAATGTTATCAGTAATTCATTATGTAATTACCTAATGTATTAATTAATGCCCTACTGTTGTCATTGGTAAATAAAAAAACCCTCCCATTTAATTGCTCATTAGATGTTCTGATTTTGTAAACTCTTGCCTTTTGTAAAGCAAAGTGAGTACACTGGGTTAGACCGAGTTGTCTAGTGAAACTTATATCAAGAAGTAGTTTTATATCATAAAGGCATCCCAGCCCAGTCCAATTCAAGTCCGTACGTCCGGTGCTAGTCCCTCTTCAGGCTCACGGAGCTTCATGCTGGTGATGCAGAATGGTGAAGCAGGAAGATGACAGAGTCACGTGGATCCAAAGTCACTAGAAACATGGCAGGACACCAGCAGCTCTCGGTTAGGTCCATCCCTAGCAGTAGACACAAGAGTCCCAATGATGTTCCAGTGAAGAGGAAGGTGAAGTGGCAGAAAGCAGTTCCCAGAGTCCCTCACTCTTAAGAAAAGGCCACAAGCCAAAGGAGGTGTCATCAAGCTACCACCTGATCTATAAGTTTAATTCCACCCCTAGCCAGAAGTATCTAGTTGACAACTACTGCACCCACTGCTGATGAGTCTAGTCAAAATCATAGTGACCCCAAGGGTCAGAATAGAATTGTTCTTTGGGGTTATAAGACACATTTATACAGGAGCAGTCTGCCTCATGTTCTCCTTCAGAACAGCTGGTGGTTTTAAACACCAAACTTGTGATTAGCAACCAACGCTTACCCCACTGCATCACCAGGGCCCCTATGATCACCCAATACCATTGAGTCAGACTGGCTTAAAGTGACCTTATGGAGCAGAGTAGATCAGGAATAGAAAGCCTTTATCTTTCTCCCTAGAAGCAGCTCGTGGGTTTCTACTTTCACCTTTGTGGTTAGCAGCTGAATGCATAGCCCACTACACCACAAGGACTCCTAGCATAGTATGTGTGAATACTGTATGACGAGATAATTGTGAATGGTGAGGAAGGTTCAGAACTACTGTTTTGTACATGCTATTTACTGTGTTTCATTTTAGGGAAGTTCTCCCCTGAATGTTAAAGCTTTCCTTTTGGTTAGTTTTCAGTAATGGCACATGTACACATACTCAACTTTCCCATCCCGTTTGTGAACCAAAAGCATCTAATTATGGAGGCCTTCCACATGCCATGCCTTGAAGACATAAGCAGTTTGTTTTGTTTTCCTATAAAAACAGAAGATTAGTTTCTTTGCAGCGCTAATAATCTTTGTGTGTGTGTGTGTGTGTTTATTTTCAGGGATATCCCAGAGATGGAAGGAAATACCCTTTGCCACCACCCTCAGGAAGATACAATTGGAATTAGGCTTTTGTAAAGCTTTCCCCAAACATTTCATTGTTCTCTGTTTTATGCTATGTGTGAGAAGATTTTTTTTTTAGTAGTTTTTAATAAACTACAGTATTTTGATTATTTCTTTTAATTGTGTAAATTTCTAGTGCTCTGATCTGTTTTATGTTGCTTTACAAATCTGAATTAATTATTGCTTGTGAATCATTTGATTGAAATTAGACTGCTGGTTTTTCACTGTGGTTAAAAATCATCCCAGCTGTGGATTTCAAAAGAGTGTATTCTAGATCATTTAAGATCTATGTTCTTTCTTAATGCATAAAAATTAGATATGAACTCTTGGAACCCTCAGCCAACGAGAGTATATGTGCTTAAGATATTTGTTTGATATTTCTTTGGAAACATTTCATTAATGTGCTTGTCTTAAGAAAATTTATTCATTTTAGTTAAAAAGTTTTTTAAACTGTGGTCTCGTATTCTGATTATTTTTTTATAACATATCAGTTTGAACATCTGGGCTAAGTATGATTTTTAAATCTATGTTTGAAAACAATTTATTTCTACAGTTAGATGTCCAAAGCTGTCACTGGACAGAGATATTTTAAATATGGTTAACAACACAATTGAAAAAAAGCTTTATAAGAAATATATATTACTATGTCAGTTATTTGGCTAATTACCAGATCTTTCTGAAAATAAATTGTTTCTCCAAATTTCATGTATTACCTGTACTTCAGTTTAAAGACTTGCCTTAAATCTTTAAGAAAAACTTTGAAAGTGTAATTTATAGCTAAATAATAAATGATCTTGGGCTCTTTTTTTTCTTGTGGGAGTGGGGGGGAGGGGCACTATTTCATAATAGATTTCCATTTGTACCCTTTCTTTTTATGCTAGTAAGTGTCACATAATCCCTTCAATCTGTTTGTAGTTCAGGCACATTCTTATTTGGTTGCTATTGGAAATTTAGGCATATATGTAAAATCTCTTCTTGCTTTGTTTACATTTTTTTCATCTTAGCTTTAGAGTCTAAGGTAAAGTTTCTCTTTGACCTTTTGGCTTAGCCATTTTGCCCTAATATTCAACTAAGGCACAGTAGTTAATCTACATGGAAAAAAATCCCACCTTAACCTTGAGTATTTTGAAGCACAATCACTGACTGATGTGAGCACAGCAGGGTACTTTATTGTTGACAAAGAAACTCTCCACCAGAAATTAACAACACAGCTGGTTATTTGTCACCAGTGTACATTAAAGGGATACTGCCTTTTATCTTCCAAGTATCAAACATGTGTAGTCACCTAAAGTATTACAAATTCCAAAACAGCTCATAAATGTCTTCTTGCTTAAAGCTTTCTAGGTGCCTCAAATTTACACTTCTCCTACCCCGTCCCCACCCCCCCACATGTCAGACTTGGGAGTTTTGTTTTAAGGTATTAGACTCTTGGAAATAATCCCTTAGGAGTTTGGCTTTCTTCATAAACCCTTAAGAGAGGGTGCCAGCCAGCTGAATCTTCATTTCAGGACCCTTCACCCTTGCTGCCTTCTTTCACTATGAAAAATTCCCCTATCCCTATCTTAATCTCTCCCCACCTTTGAATCTTTCAGCGAAGTTATCTGTTAACTTCAATACTTTTTGTAGCATCAAGAAGACTATTTGAAACAATAAGTAATTCCCTTCATAAACTGATACAAAAATAAAGCCAAGGGACCAATTACACTCCATCTTTAAATGAAGCACTTTTTTTTTCACTCGCATTTTCAGGTTTTTTAAAAAGCCTTAGCACCCGAAATCAGCCTGAACTTTTATTGGCCCTTAATGAGCAGTTGTCTACACTTTAAAGATCAAATGGCAGTGTCCTAACGTATGTTCAGGTACAACACCAGCTCAGTGATAGTCGCTCGCCATTTAGCGTCACAAAGGCAAATTGAAAGTAATGACATCCTCCTTTGGCACTGGGGAGCTTCTGGAAAGGTCCCATCCTGCTCCTGGGGGGCGGGTCCAGAATTCCTCTTTTTCCAGGTCCTCACTGGAGGTTGAGTCTGCCTTAATGAGGCTTGCCGACTTTACTGACAGGAATTGGGTGACATTAGCACCACAGGGACAGACTAGCGGATCTTTCAAAGTGAAGGTACCACGTATTTTGGACAGTTCATGCCTGGGCCACCAAGGTGCAGGCGGAGCGCGTACCAGGACTAGGACCTCCCTTGAAGTGGGGCTGCCGCGTCTGGCCGCAGACCTGGCCGCCGCTTCGAGCTCTTGGAGCTGCAGGGCCACCTAGGAGCCCTCTGCCGTCCTTCCGCAGCGCGCCACATCAGTGCTGCTTAACTTCGCCCCGATTCCCTGTACAAATGGAAGATTGAACATGTAAGAGAATTAGGAAGAAAGCTGCAAGGCTACTGTTTTAAATGTTGAAGTATTAATTACCGATTTAACTATGCTTTGAAATTAAAATCTAAACATTATCCTAAGAATTGATTTTGATTCCGCATTCCTAAACAGCAGCGTGGTGGGCCCTCCTGCTTGCCGGATATCTTGCCCACCCCAAAGGCTAACAGCTGTGATTCCGACCCATGCTCTTCCTGATCCAGCTCTACCATTTCTAACCAGAAGAAAACGGTCAACAAATTCTCCGTGGGCTTTTCCTCCGCTCCTGTTTAAGTTGAATGCCTGTGAGGCTTAGCTCCCCAAAGAATAAGCTTCAATTTTTTGTGTAAAGTGTAGATGGAGCTATTACACTATCGCAGAAATAGTTTGCCCAATTCTAGTTGTTAGATATTTATTAGAAGTCTCCTAAAAAATTACTGAAATAAGAGATCACATGGATTCAAAACTGAAAGATAACTCAATTTCAAATATTCAATTGCAGTCAAAGCAAACAAAAACATCTCAGTTTGCATTCTAAACTTTAAAGTTGCTTGAAATCACAATTACCTCAGTATTCACCTGATGAAGTATATTTCTGTGTATTTCTGTAGTTACATCTGTGCATCTTTGAAATTTCCCCAGATACCCATGAATTCTGACAGTAAAAGACTATCAATTTATATCCATAAAATGCATCCTAGTTGTCTGTCCAACTGGGGTTTGGGGTGAGTTTTTCATCCCACTCACAAGTGAGGAATCTCACCTATGCTTTGAATTGCATAGGGGGATTTAAGTTGACACCACAAAATGCATTATTTTATCATACACAAACTCATACATAAAAATCCAATCTAGGACATTTTCTGAATGTCTATTTAAATCAATATTAAATGCAGTTAGCAAAGACATCTGAAGTATTTGGGGGTTATCCAAAAGGTGATATTCAAAAAGTCTGCTTCCATAAGGATCACAAACTTGAAAAAGATGGGATAGTTCTGTAAATACATGGACTGTTCGCATTTGTCAAACTGGATTGAGTGTGATTTGCTTTAAATTGATAGTAAAGTTGCTAGCAGAATGGAACTTGGGCACATCTATTTTCAGAGATGTCAACCCTAAAGCTTTAATTCTAAGCAAAGATTTAAATAGAGGACAACTGGATTCCACCCCTGCCTTCCGTTATACAAAATACTCTTTCTTTCCTCTGTCCTTCAAAAATTACAAACACTACTTCAATTTACTCTCCAACACAAATTACAGAAAAGTATATGCAATCTCTTCTGTTCTTTGCAGCGTTTATTCGGGATTTTGGTATCTGCTCTTAAATTGGAAAAGGCAAACCAGGTTGTCATAAAACTCCAAAACATTTAGAAAATGACTCATTTGCAGAGTGAGCTTGCTTGCTTTTTTTTTTTTAACCAAGTTTTGCTGTCGCTTCTGCAATGCGAGAGAAGGTTTTGTTCAACAGACCCTGTGGCCAGTCCTTCGTGGTGGTTGTGAAGACACTTATCCTCCTCTTCAGTTAATGAGTTTCACCTAGTCTGGCTGTTTATGTTTTTATAAAAGATCTGCAAAACACTAATGTAAAAAGAAAGAAAAAGCTCTTGTTTCATATTCATCAAAACCTGAAATTCTATAGTAAAAACAGTGTATTTTAACATTTCAGGGATCAAGTCTCATAATTTTAGGATGTACACACACAAAAATAAACTTTATACTTCTCAGTTAAATCCTCTGCTGCATTTTTTCTCTCTGCTGGTTTCTTTCTGCTGAAAGAAAAAAAGCTTACATCAAATAGTTTCTAAAAATAGTGTGTAAAAATAATCTCCTTAATAAGCACATCTTATTGCTAGAGAGTTCACTTCATCGGTTTCAGGGGTTTTGTTCTAAAAATAAATGATCAAGGAAAACACTCCTGTTTATAAGGATTTGTTTTCTTTATGCTACCTAGAGCTAGCTCTTGGTTAGAAAGCTATTACTATTTTTATAACAAAATAGCAAACCATGTGAACTGTGTGAAACACAATAGCAAACCATGTGAGCTTTGAGAAAATAGTTTATGGAAGCATAGTTTCAGAATTCTGTTACTCCTTCATGGGAATGTAAGATATAGGCAAGCATTTGGCAGCACGGCATGCCAATAATAGTACTAACTTCACGTTTCTAGTCATGATTAAGAAACCTAGATTAAGAAAATTTCTGTTAAAGAAGTATTGCATCAATTTCATAATTTTTCTGCCCAAATGGTTATTCCTTATATAAAACATTTAAAAACCTTTTATCTTATGTCCAGATACGTTCATGGTCCTTTGATACAGGTGATTTTGCTTGCCTAAAATTTTTTTCTCATGGTGAAAAGGACGAGTTATTTTTTAAATTACTATAAAAATAGGTTAGACAAAGTAAAATTTTAGCTTCAAAATACCTCCTTTAGGACTCATTTTGCACATTCACAAACTAGAACAATGAAGTGAAATAAAAGAGTTCTGCTTTGAACTATAATTCTAAAGCCATAAATGTAAAAAAAAAAGTTGGGGGCCTTTGGAAATAATTTGGTAAATTTAAAATTGAATTTCATCCATGCTATACCTTTGTCATTAATTATATATGCTCATATTCTTCAGGTTTCTTGTACTTTTTCTGATTATTGAAATTATGAGTAAAGGGAGCTGTATTATCACAGCACATTAGTGCCAAAAAAGACTTTATAACAGTGAAAAAGAAATGACACTTGATTACTAGAAAAAAGTACTTAAGATTCTCTTAAGTTATAATTAAATGTCAAAACCATAGGAAGTATAAGTTGGCATAGTAAAGTTTGATATAAACAAGACAACAAAATTGTCTCAACCTCTTGATAAGTCTAAATAAGGGGGAAGTTATGAATAGTTTAGTGATACTTTAAATCCTGATTATAATCATCTTATTTTTATTCTTTTCAATGTGCTTTCAGCTATGGGGTGACTGGTATCAGTTTTAGCAATTTTCAAATATAGTAACAATTGTGAGGATGGCACGGGACAGATGGGCAGTGCTGGACCTAGGGTCACTAAGACCAAGTTCTCTGACCAGACTCCACAGCACCTAATATCATCCTAGTACTTTATCAAGGTACTCCAATCCAGACAAGAAAACACGTCTTTTAGGGTAAATAAAATCTACAGAAGGATGGGCTGTTTTTATTTTATCAGCTCATTTTGGGAGACGATAGAGTCCATATAAAAAGTAATTTACAACTATCTTATTATAAGCAGCATCTTAGAAAACAAATCATTTTAAGCTAATGTACAAACACGTTTGCCAAATGGTCAAAGCATTTTGAAATTGGCATTAAACTTAAAACGCGACACAATTCTTATAACCAATATTTTGAATATTTTTACACCAAAGTGGCAGCAATTCCTCTGCAGTAATGTTGCTATGTGCATGATTCAATTTACTTTCAATCAAACATTAATGAAATTGCACTTGAGGGGAGAAGGTCTTTGAAACGTAATCTTCCAAGGTCAGTTCCGCACCAAAAAGGAGTCATCGTTCAAGTTGGGTGGGTTTTTAGAGCTACGAACACCAACAAAATGTCCAACTTCGAAAACTGAGCTTTGGTCAGGAACGTGGTGGGCATGAGTTAGGGCATTCTTTAACGAGGAATCAACAATTCAAATCCTCGTGGAGTGACATTCCATCATAAGGTCCCCTGGGCCGTGGCTGTCGCCCACCTCCAGCAAGAGTCCCCTCTCCCGTGGCCCCTTCGTTTTGGATTGCCTTTTACACAACGGTCAGCTCTGGAACCCAAACCGTTCGTTCCCCCTTCTCACAGTTTCTTTGCAAGCAGGACCCAGTCGGGGGTAGGGGTGGGGGGTGGGCACCCAAGGTCACCAAGTCCTGCCATAGAGCAGGTTGGTCCCCAGCACGCCGCCGCCGTAGTCTCCGGCCGCTGCGTCTAGGGCCGCGAGGCCGCCCGCGGGGCCGTGCAAGGCCGGAGGGCTGGGCGACAGCTCCTCGAGCTCGGGCGCGGGCGTCGGGGCCGGCGGCTGCGGGCCGGCGGGCCCCGGCGTCGGGGGGCCGGCTCCGTTTTGGCACGGCTTGCCGTCCTTGACGAGCACGGGCACGGCCACCCGGCGCGGCGACGGCGGGCCCAGAGCGCCGTCCTGCTGCAGCTGTTGCGCGGCCTTGTCCTTGGCCTGGCGCTTCATCTTGTAGCGGTGGTTCTGGAACCAGATCTTGACCTGCGTCGGCGTCAAGTGGATCATGCTGGCCAGGTGTTCGCGCTCGGGCGCCGACAGGTACTTCTGCTGCTTGAAGCGCCGCTCCAGCTCGTAGACCTGCGCCTGCGAGAAGAGCACGCGGCGCTTCCGTCGCGGCACCGCCGCGTGCAGCGGGGCCAACGACTTGGCGGGGTCCGCGATGCCCGTCAGCGAGCCCATGCCGGCCACGTTCACGCCCGCCGACGGCCCCATGAACCTGGAGACTGGGGAGGAGGCCCA